CACAACTTGAGCCATAATTTGACACCGAGGTTATTAAGCCTTTTAATCAAACGGCGACCACGGCTCTGATACCACTTGAAAGGTCCTAATATGGCTAGAGGGGGGTGAATAGCCTATTTAAAATTCTACAAATCAACTAGAGCAATTTGATTAGTAAGACAAATAGCGAAATGCAAATTTGATCTAGCTCTACGAGTGTTGCAAGCAACCTATCCAATAATTCTAGTTGCAATGATTACTAGACATAGAACTTGCTATGATACTACTCACTAAGAGCTCTCAATCTTACTACACTAAAGAGCTCTACTAGATGAACTCTCAAATCACTCTCACTAATTATACTAAAGAGCTCTACTAGATGAACTTAAATAACAAATCAAGCTGAACCAATCACAAGGTGAATATTAAATCAATCACCGGAGAATACCAAACGATTGGTTCACGTGCGCAACAACCTACCCCGTTGTGTCGATCAGGTGGGTAACTCAATGACACAAACTCGCAATCCACTACAAGAACCTTACCCACAAGTGAACTCAATGACACGACCAATCCACTAGAGTTACCTTTCGGCGCTTCGCCGAGGAAGGTACAAATCCCTCACAATCACCGGAGACGGCCATGAACAATCACCAACTCGTGCTAATCCTCCACCGCTGCACCAAGCCATCTAGGTGGTGGCAACCACCAAGAGCAACAAGCGAATCCCGAAGGAAACACGAATAACAAGTGCCTCTAGATGCAATCACTCAAGCAATACACTTGGATTCTCTTATAATCTCACAAAGATGATGAATCAATGAAGGAGATGAGTGGGAGGACTTTGGCTAAACTCACAAGGTTGCTATGTTAATGCAAATGGCCAAGAGAGTGAGCTTGAGCCGGCCATGGGGCTTAAATAGAAGCCCCCATGAAATAGAGCCGTTGTACCCCTTCACTGGGCACAACACGGGATGACCGGACGCTCTGATCAGATCGACCGGACGCAGGACCCCAGCGTCCGGTCGCCCGATGCTTGCCACGTGTCATCGGCTTCAAACGCTGATCGCCCGATCTCAACGGTCAAGTGATGACCGGACACGTCAGTTAGAAAGTGACCAGACGCTGGATCTTAGCGTCCGGTCGTTTCCAGTAAGGTTCCAAACGTGACATTTCATGACCGGACTCACCCAGCGTCCGGTCACTCAACGTCTCCTCTGTGCGCCCCACGTCAGCAATCGTCAGCATTGATCGGACGCACCCTGCCAACGTCCGGTCACTTTTAGCGCCAGCGTCCGATCGAAGACCGAAACACGCGCCCTCTGCTGCCACTGACCGGACGCGCCGGTCCAACCGAGACCAACGTCCGGTCACTTTCAGCGACCTTCATCTTTTCTGTAAAGAATGCCGGTGGCACCGTCGGACTGTCCGCACTCTACGGGCGGACACTCCGTCGGTGAAGTTTCTAACCCTTGCTCAAATGTGCCAACCACCAAGTGTATCACCTTGTGCACATGTGTTAGCTTATTTTCACAAACATTTTCAAGGGTGTTAGTACTCTACTAGATCCTAAATGCATATGCAATGAGTTAGAGCATCTAGTGGAACTTTGATAACCGCATTTCAATACGAATTTCACCCCTCTTAATAGAATGGCCATCGATCCTAAATGTGATCACACTCGCTAAGTGTCTCGATCACTAAAACAAAATGGCTCCTACAATTTTTACCTTTGCCTTGAGCCTTTTATTTTTCTCTTTCTTCTTTTCCAAGTTTAAGCATTTGATCATCACCATGCCATCACCATCGTCATGATCTTCGTCATTGCTTCATCACTTGGAGTAGTGCTACCTATCTCATAATTACTTTGATAAACTAGGTTAGCACTTAGGGTTTCATCAATTAACAAAAACTAAACTAGAGCTTTCAACACCCCGTCAACGTCTCGGGTCACGAAGTGACCCAGCGTCCGGTCGAAGACCGACGCCAGTGTCTTCACTATTTCCACTGATAGGACGCTCCGGTCCAGTTGAGACCAGCGTCCGGTGCACTATGTGAAAACCTATCTTTTCTGTACAGGTCGTCGGTGGCACCGTCGGACTATCCGCACTCTACGGGCGGACACTCTGTCGGTGAAGTTTCTTACCCTTGTTCCCAAGTGCTAAACACAATGTGTATCACCTTTGTGCATGTGTGTTAGCATATTTTTACAAACATTTTCAAGGGTGTTAGTACTCCACTAGATCCTAAATGCATATGCAATGAGTTAGAGCATTTAGTGACACTTTGATAACCGCATTTCGATACGAGTTTCACCCCTCTTAATAGTATGGCTATCGGTCCTAAATGTGATCACACTCTCTAAGTGTCTCGGTCACTAAACCGAAAAACTCCTACCAATTTCACCTTTGCCTTGAGCTTTTTGTTTTTCTTTCCTTTTTTCCAAGTCTAAGCATATGATCATCACCATGCCATCACCATCATCTTCATGTCATAATCTTCATTTGCTTCACCACTTGAAATGTGCCACCTATCTCATAATCACTTTGATAAACTAGGTTAGCACTTAGGTTTTCATCAATTTACCAAAACCAAACTAGAGCTTTCACTCGGTCTCGTGACCAGACGCTGGCGCGAAGAGTGACCGGACGCTCAGGGCCTGCGTCCAGTCAGTACTGACGTACGCTGACGTGGTAGCGTGAGGAACAACAGTGATGCGTGGCAGATGGAGAATGATCGGACTCAGGTGCTGCGTCCGGTCGTACAGGAGCGGACGCGTCCGGTCGCAAAACAGAGGTTCGGGAAGCTCTTTGAAAATGACCGAACTCTGGCTTGTCTGCGTCCGATCGCTTATAATTAGATGTGTCCGATCGCGATTGGTACCTTACTGGAAGTGATCGGACGCTGGGGTCCTGCGTCCGATCCTACACTGTAGAGGGTCCGGTCACAACTTAAGTGCACTAATGATCGTTGAGATCGGGCGTTCAGCATTTGAAGCAGGGGCCACGTGGCGTGCATTATGCGATCAGACGCTGGGGTCCTGCGTCCGGTCGATCTGACCGGCGCGTCCAATCGCCCCGATTTTTCAGTAAACAGAGAGCTAACGGCTCTATTTCATGGGGGCTTCTATTTAAACCCTATGGCCGGCTCAAGCTCATTCTCTTAGCCATTTGCATTGACATAGCAACTTTGTGAGCTTAGCCAAAGCCCTCCCACTCATCTCCATTATTGATTCATCATCTTTGTGAAATTGGGAGTGAATCCAAGTGCATTGCTTGAGTGTTTGCATCTAGAGACACTTGGTGTTCGTGTTTCACTGCGGGATTCGCTTGTTACTCTTGGTGGTTGCCGCCACCTAGAAGGCTTGGAGCAGCGAGGATCATCGAGCGGAGGTTGGTGATTGTCTCCGGCTCCGATCGTGGTGATTGTGAGGGGTTCTTGACCTTTCCCCGGTGGAGAGCCAAAAGGTACTCTGTTAAATTGCTCGTGGCTTGTGTGATCCTCATCTTGTGTTGGTTGTGCGGCACCCTATTGAGAGTTTGACGTATGATGTCAATTAGCGCGTGAACCTCCAAGTGAGTGAATCGCCACAACGAGGCTAGCTTGCCGGCAAGTAAGTGAACCTCGGTAAAAAATCATTGTGTCATCATTTGATTCTGAGGTGATTGGTCTTCATTGGTATTCATTCTTGTGATTGATTGGTTCATTCATCGACATAGCGGTATAACTATCTTGCTCTCTCTCTTTACATTACCGTAAACTAGTTATCAAGCTCTTTAGTGTAGTTAGTTGTGAGAGCTTGTTAGTTTGGTTAGTGTGGATCTTTAGTTAGCCTTTGAGAGCACACTAACTTAGTGTAGTGACATAGCCATTGTGTGGATAGAGACTATAGAAACTAGAATTGTGGTAGGTGGCTTACAATTTTAGTAGGCTAGCGCAACACTTACTTCGTCTCATAATTGTCTAACCAGTTTACTAAGTGTTGTTGTAGAAATTTTTAATAAACCGTTCACCCCCCTCTAGCCATTAGGACCTTTCAGAAGGGTACTGGGTCAGACATATTTATCGTTGATGGCTGGAAGAATTGGAACATATGAGAGAAAGCACTTCTCAAACATGTGGGTTCTAAGGCACATATTGCAGCTCAAGAGAGATACATTGGCTTTAAAAATTCCAAGGTTGCAATTGATTATAATATTGAGAAAACCTTTGATGCACAGAAGCTATGTAGACTAGCTGAGTTCCACGCAAAGGAGTTCTCAAATAATAATTTGCTCAAACTTGAATTGCAGCTACATAATTATATTGATGACATAAGACAGGATGATAGCTCCAAAGGTCTAGACAATATTATTGATCTCTCAGTTAAGCTTGTTCAAACAAAGAGGCACAAAGTGTATGATATGGTTTATGAGCTCCTCAAATTGGTATTGCTTTTACCCGTGACAACGGCAAGTGTTGAAAGGGTATTTTTGCAATGGTTTTAGTGAAAATAAAGTTAAAAATAAGATGGGAGATAGTCTTTTAGATGATTGTCTAGTCATTTTCATTGAGTGAGATATTTTCTTTGAAGTTGATGAAGATGATATAATCAAGACATTTATGTCCCTTCGAAAGCGTCGAATAAAATAGTCAGAAAAATAGCATTGTAAGTCTCTGGTTCTCTTTATGCCTATATTTCAATTATCGGTATGCCTTTTGAACTATTTATACTATATTTAATAGATGGTTTGAACTTAATCTATGAATTTAAACCTTATTGTGTTACTTAGTGCATATATACCGAATCACGTTGTCAATTTTACAATTATTACTGAATTGCTGAAATGAATTTACCGAATTGTATATGGAAGTGTTTGGACGGTATACCCTTAGACAAAATCCTAGATTTGTCACTGGTTGTAGGAACAATAAGTGCACTACTTTGTCCTGCATTCTTTGTTTCCACTGAGTGGAGTACTGCAATAGCATATCTATAGCAAACAAACCACCCAAAGAATGTGCTAGGAAGGAAATCTTTCTCAAGCTGGACATCTTGTTAACCACATCCAAGACCTGTTTCCATAGGCACAATTATCAGATCTTCTAAGCAGTTCATTAGGATCCAGGAACAGGAGATATCAGTCTCCAACAAGGAGAATGCTTGAAACCTTTTTCTAGGACAAACTTCAAAGAACGTACTTCATTTGCTAACCTTCTTCCAGCAATATCAATCCCATCAAAGGTTTTGGTGTAGTTGTTCGATGAACTAGCTGTAGACAAAAATGTTTGCACATTTACAGCTCACTCAACAAACAAACTATTCTCAACAGTAAAACTGTGTAGCTAAAGTAATAATGTGGATGCCTTATTCACCTTGTAGGTACACTTTTTTAACGTCCATTTAGTTCATAAACCGGTATTGTAGAAAGCTAGAACGAATGGTTAGGTAATAAGTAGTATTAAAGTTAATGAATGAAGGATTCAAATGTAGCATGTTTTACCATATATGAAAAAATTATCACCCAACCGCCTCTTCAGAACTGCTTCCCCATATGTCCAGTCTTTGGGGCTGCAACCATAGTATAATGAAGTAATTTTTTTCAGTAAAATTCAAGAAAGAATGCAGAAAAGTACAGTTTGGTTAAAGAAGACAAGCAATCTGTGTCAGACTCATGTGTGTAGACTTTAAGCAATTAAGCCTCTTTCAAATCTACGGTACCAACTTAGTACAGGAGAACTAGGATCTAATCAGTTACCTTGCCATGATACCATGGACAAGAATAAGGAGATGGTCTGGTCCTTGCTTGCTTTTGGGTGTATCCATCATTGAACACACAACAGTACTTCCCCTTGATACTGGATGAAGATACAGGTTTCCGGCAGATTGCAATCCTGCAAAAATCATGTAGTGCTGCAGGGATGAGTTCCAGTATATTTTACTGAAAGCGTGTGAAGAATATAAAAACAAGGCAACTTTGAACTGTATGCATGTTTGTCTCGAATTTGGATAAAAAATGAAGCCGCATCGTTGTTTTAACCAAAATCCATAGGATCCTGATGTCTGATCCTATTCAGATTTATTAATTGGATTTATAACTTTCTAGATCAATCGAGGATGCATTTTGCTTAGATTCCAAATGGTTTGAGAACCATCAGATTTCTCATGTACTACCCGCGCCCTCTGTGATGTCAATTTGATCCAGGAGCTTTGCTGATACTTCCTGATCTCATTGCTTAACTGAAACTTCCTGATAAAATATTTTTTTCGTCTATCGAGCTACCCAACCAGTCTGCATTGACTTAGCACGAGTATATGGAATTACAGTGCTTCGCATCTACGAAATTGTCTGGCACTAAGCTTTCCTGGAGAAACCAGCTTCACAGTGCCTCCAATCTGTCACGGAATGACGGAAGGCAAATTTCCTAGGAAGGAGGAAGCGATCAAGAATAAAATAAACCTGACGGGCTGCCGCTTCCGCTCGAAGAACAGGCGGGGCCGAGGCCGGTGCGCGAGAGCGCCGAGACGCGTAGGAAGCGGTTGTTATAGGAGCGGCTGAGCCTGAGCGAGAGGCCACGGGGAAGAGAGCAAGCCGTGGACGCCATCCCCTCTCGCGGTGGCGTCGTCGAAGGCGGCGGACGGCACGGGACAAAAACCGCGCCGGAATCAGTGCCGGCGTGGGGCTGATTATTGACGGATCCAGGAACGTGGCGGCGGAGGCAGATGACGCGCGCCGCGCGGCATGGGGCGGACGGCCGACGGAGTGGACAGGTTTGGCCGGGCGAGGTTGGCCGTTGCCGTCGGCGTCACGACAGCCATGGGATTCTGCCATTTTTTTTTTTTAATCATTTTCTATTTAATATTTTAATAATAATCGTTACTAAAAAAGTTTGCCAGATCTAACCCTTACTGGCGCAACCAAATAACGTTGTCGCGCCACATGCAATGACGCAGCAACATCGGTCATGTTAGATGGTATTTTCGACGTGGAAAACGTTGTCACGTGATGTGACAGTAATGTTGTGTCGCGTCACCGGGAGTGGCGTGACAAAACCAAATCTTTAAAAAATCATAATTCTTTGATACAACATTGGATGAAAATAAAATTTATATGAAAATTGTAGCTCTCGATGAGATCTATAACTTTGTAGTTTTGAGTTTTTTCATTTAAAGACGTTAAGATGCTTAAAAATAATATAAAATTTCAAGATCATAATAACCGCGTACCAGTACTTGTCGTATTAGAAAACAAATATCGTTTATGTATGTTGTCAAATGAAGATACCTTTTACATGAAAGTTGTAGCTCTTAATGAGATCTATAATTTTATAGTTTTGAGTTTTAACATTTGAAGTCGTTAAGATGCTCAAAAAATAATATAAAATTTCAAGAACATAATAACTGCGTACTAGTACTTGTCGCATTAGAAAAATGATATCATTTCTTTATGTTGTCAAATAAAGATAGTTTTTACATAAAAGTTGAGTTTTAATATTTGAAGTCGTTAAGATGCTCAAAAAATAATATAAAATTTCAGTAACATAATAGCCCCGTTCGGCTGGCAGAATTTTGGCTTAAACTGGCTGAAAAACACTGTTCTAGCTGAATTGTTATGAGAGAAAAACACTGTTCCAGCTTAAAAAAATAAGCCGAATATGAGGTAAGCCAAACGAGGCCAATAATCGTGTACTAGCGTTTGTCGAATTAGAAAAATAATATCGCTTTTGTATCGTGTCAAATGAAGGTACTTTTATATCAAAATAGGAGCTCCCAAGAAGATCTATAACTTCTATTTAAAAAGTAGTTTTATGTGACATCAAATAAGAAATATACGATTTTTCTAAAAGTATAAGTTTCGATACACGATTAATAGGCTGCTAAAACTTTATATTAGTCATTAGAGTATGTTAACAACTTCAAATATGAAAACTCAAAACTATAAATTTGTAGATCTCATTAAGAGCTATAATTTTGATATAAAATGCATCTTCATTTGACACCATATAAAAAAGATATTATTTTTTAAATGCGGCAAGCGCTGGTATACGATTATTATGGTGCTGAAATTTTATATTATTTTTTTGAACATCTTAACGCCATCAAACGAAAAAAACTCAAAATTAGATCATCTTCATCCAAGGTCGTATTGAAGAGTTATGATTTTTCAAAAAATTAGTCTGATCATGCCACTCTCGGTGGCGCGACAAGATAATACTGTCACGCCACCTAGAGGGCGCGACAAGATTTTTCACGTCGATTTCACGTCGAAAACGCCATCCAACATTATACAACATTATAGATGTTGCCGCGCCACATAGCGTTGGCGCGATAGCGTTAAAGAATGAGATCTGAAAATATTTGTTGTAGTGGCTATTATTAAAATATTGATTAAAAAAAAAATTCTGCGGGATTCTGCGGGGTATTCCAGCCCGGATGCCCGGTCGGGCCGAGTCCGGTCTGGGAGCCTGGGGAATTTCGCGGCCTGCCTCGCAGCTGATAGAGCCAGTTGCTCTGACCAAAGTTTATCAAAGTTGCACAAATACTCCCTCGGTCCCATTGAAAATATTGTTTTTAATTTTAGACTTCTTGTTTAACCGTTTATCTTATTCAAATTTTTATGCAAATAATAAAATAAACAAATCATATTAAAATATCTCTAATGATAAAATAAATCGTAACAAAATAAATAATATTTATACAAAAATTTTGAATAAGACGAATAGTTAAACAAGAGAACTAAAAGTCAAAAACGACACTTTCAATGGAATAGAGTGAGTACAGAGTTAGTTTCATTAATTTATCCGTGAAAATGTCTTTGTATGTAGTGTTTATTTGAACTTGGAGGTGTAACATATTTTTTCAAAAAAATCGACCAATACTTGATAAGTTTGATTCAGAAAAAATATACCTATAATTTAAACGGACTTGCTAGCGTCCGGATGCCTAGGCCTACAGTCGTTTTCTGCGCCGTTACGCGCGCCCACGTGGGGCCCGAGCTGCCCCAAATTTCACCAGCATCGAGAAGAGGGGAGGGGACAGCGGATACCAGCCGATGCTGGGAGGAGGAGGAGACACCAAGACGAAGCTAGCAGAAAGTGAAGAGGGAGATGCAACACTCGATCTACTTTTGAAACATCCAGATGCAACACTTGCAACATACATCTGAAGGAAAATAAAACACTTGAAACATGCATCTAAAACACTTAAAAAAACACATGAAAAACACTTGAGAACCATTGTAAAACATACGCAACGTCCAGATAAAAACACTTGCAACATTTGTGTGAAACATAAGCAACATCCAAATAAACATGCTTGAAATATACGTCTGGAAAAAACAGATGAAATATTATAAAAAAAGCTTGTAACTTACATGGACAACCATTGCAACATATGCAACATCCCGACCCAATTTTACAACATCCGTATGAAACACTCGAAACATACATTTGCAACATGCGCTTTCAGCGCAACATCTCCTTACTGCTTAGGAGAATGGAGGCTCGTTGTTGTGTGAATTTCACCGGAGGCAGCGGCCCAGGGCGAGGAGCGGAAAAGATGGCGCCCACATCTAGTTCAAGTAGGCCACAGGTGGATTTCGGAACAAGGGCAGCCGGCGATCCTTGACTCCCACCCCGAATTCAAGGAGTCGATGGTTCGGGGCGCGGGAGAGCAAGTGTGGGCGGCACAGCAGGTGGCCGGGGAGGGGCAGCGCGATGCCGGGTCGGAGCAGCGAGGAGACGGTGGTGGCACGCGGCTGTGCTAGTGGCCGGTGGAGCTGCGGGGGATGGTGCGGAAGGAAGAAGGCCGCTAAGTAGGAAGACCGTTTTTTTTAGCCGAGCGGATAGAAAGGCACAATTGAGCTAGCGTTGTGGCCCACCGTCGGAGCGTCTGGGCGCGAAGGACGGACGCCGCCTCTTCCAAACCCGTTTTTATTTCGCATTTGGCTTGCGGATAGAAAGGCACAATTTTGAATCTGCTAGCGTTGCGGCCATTTGACAAACGTCGGATCGTCTGGGCGAACGGACCGGACGCCGTCTTCCAAACCTGTCTTATTTTTTATATTTAATGCTCCATGCATGCGTCCAAAAATATATGTGATGGAAAGAGAGTGAAAAAACTGGAAAACCGTGTGCATACTTGAGGCAGTTTGATTAAAGTATGGCTTTACGTAAGGAGTAGTTGCGTTGTGAGAGAAGATGACGTTTGAACCAGGTCGAACTTCACTTTTTGAATTTTGGGTACGTTTGCGTATGCATGGCACCAGTTCTATCAGCTCTGTACAGTACTCCGGACTGCAACTGACTCGAGAGCTTTCGTGCCAACTCAACCATCCGGCCATCCGCGGCGGCTGGTTGGATTGACACGGGCACATCACGTTACAACAGTGCCTCTGCCGTGTGGAGCATCACGTTCTCGTTCTGCACACCACCCTCCGCGCGCAGGGTTCGTCGTGCATTTCCATCCATCCCCGAGGCCGCACGCGAGAGGACCGGCGCCGAAAACCGCAGCCTCGCGACGCCGATCGATCCCCGACGCGACGCGCCGCGCGCGCGTGGCCGTGGATCCCCACCACGCACCCGATTTGTGCGCGCGCACCGAATGATCATGCATGTCGACCGGGCCCGCCTCGCGTGCTATCCACAACATGCAGCGGCGGGTTTCTCGCCGAGCTCCCCGCTTTTGGCTTGGGCTGCGAGAGCGGACGAGACGACTTTTCGCGTGCACGGCATGCCGCAGCCACACGCAAACGACCCATCCGGCCGTCCCTCCGCTCCGATCGATGATGCGACGCACCCGGTACCGTACCCCATCTCGGCCTCATTTTCTACGTATGGATACATGATAGTAACACGAACATCTTGGGTGGGTCCGACCAGCCCAAGCCCATGCTGGTGTGGATACGTACCATATGTGAAAATGATACACGTATCTAACAGAAACTAAGACGAGTTAATGAAATGAAGAGAGCACTAAATAAAGAAGAAAGAGAGGGGAAAACTAAAAGATATATTATATCAGGGGCCTTGACTCCCATAAAAAGAATGTCGGGATAATTCGTCGTAATTTATGGACACAACTCTTAACTATTTTCTCAGTTTCTCCGTTCAAAATTGTAAATCTTTCTGGTTTTTATAGACATATAGTTTACTATATGTATCTACACATCATTTATATCTAAATGTATAGTAAGAGCTATGAATCTAAAAATATCAAAACGATCTATAATTTGAAATGAAGAGAATATGTCTTTTGAGGAAGAAAACAATATCAAAGTGCGGCTTTGTACTTTTCATTTTCTATTGGAGTATATGCTCCAAATTAAAAGAGAAGTTTCAAGTATATTAGTCACCAAAAACTCTAGTACAATGCTAATGCTATGAAAGTTTGCGGTCGGATATCTTTTTAGATTTACATAGATAGATGATGTGGTGGAGATTCCCACATTGATATATGATTTACAATGCTGTGAAAGTGTGACACGTGATGGATAGTGGCGCGCACATAGTTGTGGAGTGTATTATGTACCGAGCGATGGTCCACCTAGTATATATGGAGAATTGGTCAAAAGTATGTGCATGGTAGTGGCAAAATTTTGCCAAGA